GTATATATAGTAAGTCAGTGAAGTAGGTAAAAGATAAATAAATCATAAAGATAAAATTCATGCAGCAGTTAGATCAGGGCTCGAGCTCGGTGACGTTGCCTGCGTCAGTGTTAACGTCAGTGTCGGTGTGTTTTAGGGAGGATAAAAATAAATCAATAAACAGGTTTTATCTTCGAGTGGCATGCAATTGATCATGCCCCTATAGTGTCAGTTGCAGCATTCGTGTCAGTGCTAGCGTCACTGTCAGTGAGCAATGAACAATGATTTCCAGGAATGCGCAGAAGGAGGTGGCTGGTCGGTAGACTTTGCTGTGGCAGATCTCGGTGGAAAGTGGGCAGGTTGGCATGAGGTCTAGGGTTGCCACCTGTCCAGGATTCACCCGGACAGTCCGGGTTTTGAATGCTGTGTCCGGGTTTCATGGCAACAGAAACCCGGACACAAGATTTTAGGCAGACGGGGGCAACCAAAATTAAGATAGGAGCCACTGAATATAGTCTCAACTGTGATATTTACATATGAATAAGCCGCTACTCATTCTCCCAAAATAAATGTTTGTGCGTCGTTAGAGTGTTCGGGTTTCGCTTGAAGAAAAGATAGCAACCCTAATGAGGGCCCATTCACACCATTGTGCTGCAGTAAGGTGCTTTGGTGCACTGCGGTGTCGTTCATTTTGAATGCCATCCCAACCAACCTGCACAACCCTCAACACACATTACCATGGTGGACCACGATCAGAGAGTGCAGCAGGTATATTGAGGTGCAATGTGCGTTAGGATGCAATATAAAACGTATTAATATGTGTGTGCTAAACGCACCGCAACGTACCTGACCAGTGTGAATGCGCCCTGCAACTTTGTTGGGGTTGCCAGTTAAAGCAGAATTGCACTGACATAAACGTAGCTGCTGATTGGCTGTACTGGCTATTTGGTCAATGATTCTCCGCACAGTTCATTCAGCAAAAGTTGACATTTGACATGCCGGGTGGTGTCAGCACGGCCTCACACAGTCAGCAGGACTCGACTAAAAATTCGAGCCATGTTTGGCCAACTTTATACGACCTTTAAAAATATTTAAAACCAGTCTATAGAGCTTATAAACCCATTATGTGTCAACCCAACGTCTCCTCCAATGCCTTCCCCTTCTGTGCCAATCAGTCTCCACCGCATTCCACCCACAGCAATGCAATATGAAAAAAAATCCAATGATATAATAACATTTATATATTTTATTTACAACAAAACATTGTATCCGTCCGCTTCCATCAGTCTAGTCTTTTCCTCTGCAGCTTCCTGTTCAGCTTTCTCTCAAACAAATAATAATAATAATAATAATAATCATCATCAGGGTATGTTATACCAATAACTTAGTATTAGCAATAATAATCATCATCATCAGGATATTTTATATGATTTCCTTAGTCCTGGCATTAATAATAATAATTATTATTATTAATATTATTATCAGGATATTTAATATGATTTCCTTAGTATTAGCAATAACAATAATCATCAGAATATTGTATACCATTTCCTTAGTATTAGCAATAATCATCATCATCATCAGGATATTTTATATGATTTCCT